TTTTAATAAACATTATAAAATATTTAAGAAAGGAAGGAAAAATAGCTATGAAAGAAAAAAACTTTTTAAAAAGCTGTAAGGACCAACTACATATCTTACACACTATCACTGATTGACAAGTTGTGGATTGGTACACTTGGTGAAGTTAACTCTTAGTTCTCAAGGAATCAGTCCATTCTCTTGAGGCCAAAGGTGCTCACTGAGATGACCTGACAGAGACGGAGAGGTTGGGGTCTTTCAGGATGTGTTCCAGGCTCCTATTCAGGGTGACAACCTCTGCTATCATGCAGGATGTGTATCTCTTGGAGGATGCTCCCTACAATACAGTACTCCCTACATTACTCAGGCATGGTGGCAATTGTAATGCCTTTGTTCAAGTCCATAGTGTGACGATACTGGGAAGTTCCTCTGGTCACCACACTTGAAAACAGGTATATTATTGGGTTGGAGAAAGTACTGAAAAGGGCATCCAAAAAGATTTGTTGCACTGGAGCAATCCTCCTATAAGAAAAAGTTATAATAGTTGGGACTTTTTAACCTGGAGGGAAAGGTAAACTACAGGAGCATGTATGGTGCAGAGGTAGTGGACTGGAAGATATTTCCCCCTTTTCATGAAGTTAGAATTCGGGTTCATCCAATAAATCTAAACTCAATTCCTAAAATATATATATAATTTAAAAATATATAATTAAAATAAATAAAAATAAAATCCTTTTTCCTGTTGGCAATGTGGACATGATATTGTGTAGGATTTTTCTTTTGATATATATCAAAAGAAAAATCCTCCAGTATATAAAGAAAAATCCTCCAGTTTATAAATGTGGGATATTGTGGTTCTGTGCTCACAATTCAAAAAGCCAGGAAATGGCAATGTGGAGTGGACATGATATTGTGTAGGATTTTTCTTTTGATATATATCAAAAGAAAAATCCTCCAGTATATAAAGAAAAATCCTCCAGTTTATAAATGTGGGATATTGTGGTTCTGTGCTCACAATTCAAAAAGCCAGGAAATGTATTGATATTGCTACACAAGATCATGTCCACACATGCCAACAGGAAAAAGGATTTTATTTTTATTTATTTTAATTATTTATATGCCTCCTTTCTACCCATGGGGGACCCAAGGCAGTTCACAAGAGATACTGTATCACATTTAAAAAGTTATTAAACATATACTGAGATTTTAAAAATCAAAAAAGCCAAGCTTTACATAGCAAAATATGGATGGTAGTGAGCACAATAGGGTCAGCTACATCTGTACCAAAGTTGATGCTGATCTGAGATCCAGTTTCAAAGTTATTTTTGTTTGGTTTGCCTCCTTTTTTTGAAATCAGTTTCAAAGTTATTTTTGTTTGGTTTGCCCCCTTTTATTGAAATCCCTTATAGAATGCTGATTTGCTGTGCTGCACATTATCTATTACTGTACTCTTGTGCAGCAATAATAATAATAATAGGAGAATCAAGACAAAAGGAAATGCATCTTCACAAAGTATATAGTTTAAATGTGGAATTTGCTATCAAAAGATGTAGTAGTATCCACCAACCAACAGTCTTAAAAGAGTATATGACCACTTAGAGGCCAAGGCCCTCAATTACTACTATTCATGACTGAGATGGTGACATCCCCAGTACCAGAGGAAGTATTCCTTGCAATACTAGCTGTCACCCAGGGTACTATTGTGGAGATGCCCTCTTTGAGGGTTTCTTACAGGCACCTGGTTAGCTGCTATAGAAAATAAAAGTTGCTGAACTATATAGGCTCAGCCTTGCTTCCAGCAGTTCTCTTGTGTTCTCATGAAACACAGGTATTTTGGTTCTTGTCTCGCAAGGAAGAACTCCCAAATGCCTCAAAAAGAACTGTGTAAAAGAAACCTATGGAAGGTGAGGGTGAGGGTAAATCACTCCATGTGGCCGTATATTCTATCACATCCGTGCCAATTAGTATAAATCACCTGACATCAAATTTGATTCTGGGAAAGAAGGAAATGTGCAGGTGACTGCTTTCAGACAAAACAATTTATTAGGTTTTGCCACTCCTTTTAGAAAGCTGAGCACGGGAGGGGAGTAATCTACCCATGAGTTTTTGTCGTCTGCACATATTCAGCCATGAGTTATGCTGAGTTCAACAGATGCTGGTAAAGACCCACGCAAAGAAAGAACAGATGTCTCTATTTGACAACAGAGAGTATTTTTCAAATCAGATAAAAACCATGTTTTTCTGACTCTTTTTTTGCCAGCTTTGAAACGTTCTCCCACATACCAATTAGCTAGAAAAGCTCTAA